AAACTATGAATGCCAGAAGAACCTGGACCAAAGTATTTCCAGTTCTAAATGACCATAGATATTAGCCCAGAATACTTTACCTGGCAAAAATGTCTATTATAGTTGAAGGGGGAATAAAAATCTTCCATGACCTGAAGAGACTAAAAGAATACATGTCCACAAAACCAGTCTTTCAAAGATCACTTAAAGCAATACAAACAACTGAGAAAGGAACAACTATAGCCAAAGGCAAGAAAAAGAACCTTAAATGAAGGTATAATTGTGGAAACACAAAATTAGACCAAGAATGCAAACAGTAATCAAAACGGTGGCAACCAATACACATCTTTCAACAATACCTCTAAATATCAATAAACTGAACTCCCCAGTCCAAAGATACATACTAGTTGAAAGGATTGTTTTGTTGTGTGCAAGAAACTAATCTCAGCTTCAAGAAAGGCGCTATCTTATCGTGAAAGGATGGAAAAGTATATTCCAAGGAAATGGCACTAAGAAACAAGCAGGGATTACAATCCTAATATCTGACAAAGTACTTCAAACTAAATCTAATAAGAAGAGATGAAAATGGTCACTTCATTCTTATTAAAGTAACTGTTAACCAAGAAGATATTACAGTAATGAACATATGTGCACAAAAGTCTAGTGCACCAAATTTATAAAAACAACACTGTAAGATTTTAAGACATGATTAACCCCAACTCAGTAATAGTAGGTGACTTCAAAATCCCCTCTGTCCAATAGACAGGTAAACTGGACAAAGAATAAACATAGAGACATCTGAATTAAATGATACCATACATCAAAGAAACTTAACATTTTCCAAATATTCCACCCAAGCAATAAAAAAATACACTTTCTATTCAGCACCCCATGTAACTTTCTCAAAAATTGATCACAAATCTCAACAAATACAAAGTATTGAAATAATTCCATGCATTCTATAAGATCACAATTCAGTAATGCTTAAAACCAACACTGAAAGAAGCCTTAGTCACTACATGAATTCATGGAGATTAAACAACACACTTCTGAACTATGAATGTGACAAATTAGAAATTAAGAAAGAAGTAAACAGAACTTCCCCAATAATCTTATTAATCTATACACCCACTTCCCAAATGGCACCTCCCATTGCCCCCGTCCCGCACTGGAGCCCATAAACCTTGTCATCCCTGTTACTGTCCATTGAGTTTTCTGTGCCCCCAGCCATTCCCCAGTGCTTGTCTGTCTGCTGAATCTAGTCAGCCTATTTAGAGATCCTTGTTTTAGGAAAATCAGCTGTTCCTCATCTAGCAGCAATCAGTTGTCAATATTCCTTTAGATATGATTGGGGTCTGATGTTCATTTTCCCAATTGTGTGCTGGGTTACTATTTGGGAGTCTTTTGGGCTACCCCGGCCAACAACTCAAAGGAACATATTTCCTGTCTAGCATTGTTTCTTGTTATGTTATACATAACTCTAAAAAAATTGTATTGACCCACTTAATCTTTGGTTGTACTTTCCTTTTGGGTGTTTAAGACACTACAATTGGCCCAGATAAACCAATTTATTTTTACTCTGAAGATCATTTGAGGATCTGTTCCTCAGGGGTCACATGGGCTTGGAAAGAGCCTTTGGCACCTTTCTTTTACGAATTCTGTCCATATGAAGATAATTCAAAGGACCTGCTCAGCTAGGGCTGTTTGTAAAACAGGATGCTTGAATTTTTACTCAGGGTTACCAGTGCCTATCTGATAATTTATTGGCCACAATATTTTCTTTCTAAGGCCAGAAAGCATAGTAAATGTTTAGATTTTAGCCCAGGAGTAAATTTTTACCCTGGATTCTCCCTATTTTTATCTAGTGAGAGCTGAGAGTTATTTCTTTACAATAGGATATGGGCTAAAGTTGTTGACCAAGATACTTTCCCTCAGAACAAGGGGCTTAAATTTTTGACCCAGCCACTTTTCTCCAGCTAGTCCTGCAGTGTTCAGCAAGACAGTGATCTGAGGACTGTTGTATTCAGTGACACTTCCTTCAGCAGAGATTGTAGACCTTCAGCAGAGATTATTTGTAGACCTTCAGCAGAGATTATAGGCTGGTAGGATTAGTATACCAGATCTCAAAGTATACTACAGAGCTATATTCACAAAAACAGCATGGTACTGGCATAACAATAGACCCATTGGTCAACGGAGCATCATTGAAGATTCAATTTGAGTGCATGCAATTTCATGCACCTGATATTTGACAAAGGTGCCAAGAACAGAAAATGGAGGAAAGACAGCATCTTCAACCATGGTGCTGATAAAACTGGATGTCTACCTGTGTAAGAATGAAATTAGATGTTTATCTTTCACTTTGCAGAAAAGACAACTCCAAATGGCTCCAAGACCTCAACGTGAAACTGGAAACTCTGAAACTATTATAAGAAAACATTGGCACCTTATAAGATACAGGTATAGGACAGGTTTTTCTAAATCAGACAGTTGCTCATGAATTATGGTCAGCAATCAACAAGTGGGACCTCATTAAACTAAAATGATTCTGTAGAGCAAAAGAAACAATCAAGAAGATGGAGTAAAACCCATAGAGTGGGAAAAAATATTCACCAGTGACACATCTGACCAAGGCTTAACTTCCAGAATATAGAAAGAACTCAAAAATCAAAGAAGCAAGAAAGCAAATGACCCAGTTAAAAGATGGGTTAACGATCTAAACAGAGAGTTCTCAAAGGAAGGAATGAAGATGGCTAAGAAACATCTTAAAAGTGATCAACATCATTAGTCATTAGAGAAATGCAAAATAAAACCACTTTAATGTTTTGTCTTACCCCATGAGACTGGCTAATATCAAGGGAACAAATGATACCAAATGCTGGTGGCATTGCAAACTCATGTAACCCCTATGAAAGCAGTGTGGAGAACTCTTAAAAAAAACTAAAAAGGAATGTATCATATGACCCATATACATGACTCCTTGTCATATATCCAACATATCCATCCTATTGTACAAACACTTGTTGCTGCTTTTTCAAAATAGCTAAGAGATAGAAACAACCTAAGTGTCCTTCGACCGATGGGTGGTTAGTGAAAAAGTGGCTCATTTACACAATGGAATTCTACTCAGCAGGAAAGAAGGATGAAATAATGAAATTTGCAGGTAAATGTCATTAATGGGTGGTGATACTAAGTTACACAGACTCAGAAAAAAAAACATATTGTCTCTCATTTGTATATCCTATCACCAACTCCATTTAAGTGAGTACATATGATTTAACTGCATGGACAAGGAATGTTGAAGGGAGACATGGAGGTAAAGGGAAAGAACAAACAAGAGAGAAGAAATGTCACGCCATCTCCAATGAAGCCCGCGTGAGATCCTCCGTGGGTTGAGGCTGGAACTCCTATCGTGCCACCAGCTAATGGTGAGTGCCCCAATGATTGTATCTTCACTCAAGCTATGCACTCATCCTGTTATACCTCCTTTACTGAATGTAATAGAAATAACACCCTGTATTTTTACTCCACGGCCATTTCTTATAAAACGGCCTCTGGGGGCTTGGATTGGACCCTTAATACTCAGGTAATAGGATCAGAAAAATATAATTCTAAAGCTCTTAGTGAGAAGTGACTAGGCAGAGTTAATGCTGGAAAGTCCAGGGAATAATAGATTTCTAGAAGAAAAATATAGATAGATAAATATAGATAGAAGAAGGGTTTCTTGTTATTCATTACAATACATGGATAAATTGGTAAGATCAGGACCACCTTGGTGCCTTTTGATAAACAATCATCAATAAGAGAGCATTAAAGAGCAAATATAGAAGGTATTTTAAAATTGGTAGGATAAGAGAAAAATATGGTTTCATGGATTTCTAACATGAGATAGCCTTTTTGGGACTTATAGAGTTAAAATAACTTAGAAGCCCTAATGGCCCACTACAAACAAGCAAGGAATGTTATCAGATCTTTAAAAAAGTAACAACCTGGCACCACTGGTGTTGGAAGTTCTTAATGGGGTGCTTAATGAATCAAGGCCATCCTGACTTGGGACCACAAAGCCGAGCAGAATCTTAAGTGTGTGAGAAAGGCTGACAGTAAATAAACACAGTAAAACAGGAATTTACTGTCTAGTGTCAGGTTGATAAGATAGAGAGATATGTTGGCAAAATTATGTTTTACTTTCACCTCTGGAACTGTGAATCTTAGCATGACTGTTCTGCGGTTTTTTGTAATCTTTTCTGTATATATTTCAAACCTTGCAACTGTGAAAATTATACTCAGACTTTCATCAAGCTCCTTTTGCATCTGTTTGTCACTCGCTGACTCCTTGTCCACCCTCTCGACGACCCTGCTCCCATAGGACTGAACTGCCCTGGTCTGGGCTGGTCCGTTGCAAAGAAAAGTAGGAGAAAGGTGTTACTAAGGGAGAAATATGTGAAAAGGGGTAGTTAAAGGGGAAGGGGGAAGGGTGGCTATAAAGAGAACTATGGGAATGGAGGGGGGAAAATTCTCCTGATACACAGTTCAAAGATAAATGCATTAAGCAGTGGAACACACATTGGTATCGTAGAGCAGGCCAACCCTGTGGCAGAGGAGAATATAGGCCCCAGTAGGAAGCCACTGCAATTGTTTTGTTAGATGGATGCGATGCACCTGCTAAAGTACCATCCAAGCGTTTGTGTTTACATCCAAAGTTAAGTTATGGCAACCACTGTTTAGATGTTTTTTCTTCTTGCTGATTGTGTTTTCACAGTAGACAGAATCCCACTGAAATGGGCCAGTAGCCCATGAAAAACAGATGATGCAGAGACCCAAAAGTTCAGTGCCTTGGCACAATGGGAGGAAGATCATCCTACACTTATCATCCCTTACAAGGCTCAGGGACTTTTTAGGAAGAAGTTGGCAGAAAAATGCAAGAGCCGGCAGAAGGGGTGGAGTTTTCCCTGGAGGTGTCTTCTGACCTCTATGCCAGCATGCTGTAGTCACACCTCCACCCCATGCTAGTCAAGAAGTCTATGGGGAATGAGCGGCCCCTCCCACCCAATCAGTTGATCTTAGCTGCATGTAGAGGAAGGGCTAAGGATATACAAGCCAAGAGTGCCATAAGGCACCTCTCTCTCCATTTTGTGCTGCTGTCAGGAAGTCACAGGATCTATATATGAGCATCAACAGAGTAGATGAACTTACTAGCAAGACACAAAGATAAGCAGGCAAAAACAGAAGCATTTATTTCTGAGTTTCTCATATAGAGGTTGTTGCTACTGGAAGCTGCCGTACATATTTAGGGTGTTTTTACATTTTCATTAACCTAATGAAGAAAATCCCTCACAGGATTGTCTAGAGGCTGACCTAATCTACATAATTCCTCTAGAGGTGTCCAGAAGTTTACTCCCTGAATCTAGATCTTGTGATGTTCACAAGTCATATTAACCACTTAAGCTCTTCTCTGCTCTAATTTCCTCCCCTCCTCTTACCTCTTTTTTTTGTTTCCTCTCCTCCTTTACTGGTTAATTTTTCTCCCTGCAGTGACAAAATATTTGTAAAGAGCCAACCTGGAAGATGAAAAGCCTATCTCCCCTCATTTCAAGGTGATGCAGGGAAAGCATGGGAGCAGGAACACAAGATTGCTGGAAACATTGCAACCATAATCATAAAGAGAAAAGCTAGGGCCTGACTGGAATATTTCAGTGTCTGCCCACCAAGACACACTTCTTTCAGTAAGGCTCTACCTACAAAATGTTCTACAAGTTTCCCCAAGTAGCACAAAATATAGCAAGCAAGTGTTCAAACATATGAGTTTATCATGGAAATTTTTAACTTCAAATGATAACATTGTGCCTGTTGCCCTCAATAACTTCTGGTCAAGGCAAAATGGAGAATTACATTCATTCAGTACATTTTCGCACTCACCACACTCTCCCAATGTCTAATATTTTCTGAGATTCAAAAAATGGCCTAACTCTGAGCCCATATAGCATAAAATAGATATGTTACATACCATTCATATACAGTGTTACAGAATCATCATTCATTTGGGCATAGCAGGGAATTCTCAAGAGAAAGGAGAAGCAAACCCGATTTGGGAAAACAGCAAATATTGCAGCTTCATCTAGGACTCTGGATGAAGTCACCTGGGCCAAAACCTCATGAATGTCCATACTCCCACACCTCTGCTTCCTCTGGCAGAGCTGCTTCTGTCTTGAGCTGGCTGCACACTGCAAACATCGCTTTCCTCATCAGACACCCCAGGGTTCTGCCTTCTGCAACATTCTGCCATTTCTGTTGCAACTTTGGCTTCACATCCCCAGCTTCATGAAGTGTCTCCTCAGGTCTGTCTCTCAGGAACTCCAACTCTCCATACATATTGTGGCCTCAGGAACTTTGAATGGTTCTGGAAGATTCCATGACCTCCTCATTCTTCCCGATGCTTATTAAACTTGCACCTCATGAAGAAATCAAACAGTTTCTGCTACCACCTTGAGACAGAGCCTGACCCTTCAGGAACACACGGGCAGCAGCTGTATTTATTTTTGCCTTCTGTGCAAATCTTTGTTATATGCTCATAAATGCTATTTGTTTCTGCTTGAAAAGACAAGGCCACATGCAGAGGGTAGCATTATATAGTGCTGCATCCCATTAGGAGTTGTTAGTCTTTCCAGCCCCATTTGCACTATGTTTGTGGTCCTCATGTATGACACACTGGTGTCCTGTTTAGGGGTGAACATTCAACATTCTTCCCAACACTTTGATGAGTTACAAGTCTCAGCTTTACCACTGTCCAATGCTAAAAGAAGCTTCTCTGATAAAGGTAGAAAGTTCCACTTGTCTAGGGATATAAACATAAATATTTAAATGGCAGTTTAATTACAAGTTCATTTAGTAAAACATGGTGTAGATTCCTCATGGGGTTTGTGACCTACCATTTCATAGGTTTTTGAAAACATTACCACTCATATATTCCCTCCCATGGACCACTCATGAGATCCAATCAGGAAATGGTTGGTTAGTACTGGAAATGCATCACTGTTGTACCTGATGTTAAATCATGCCTGGCAGATCAATACAGCACACAGAATTCAAAACAAGATTAGATCATTATTGACTTTTTTTTTCCCAGGCATTGATCAAGAAGCTTCCAGCATTGTAAAAGCTAGTGAGCAAGGAGACGGCTTCTGGATGACTTTCAGCTTGATTTCTTCAGTCTTCTAATCAAAGTGTGTGTTACCAACATAGTAGGGTCTTACTCCACAGTTCAGAAGGGCAAACAAAATTAGCGGCACTAGCACATACTGTTTTGGGTTCCTGTGAAGGTATGCCATGCCTGGCAGTCGAATTTTGCTTTAGAATCTTTGACTTCTGGAGCAGAGATATCTATTCTTGCATAGCTTTGTGATTCAAATTTCCTTTTTTGTTAAACATGTTTTTGTGATAGCTTATAAAGTAGTAATTTTCTATGTGGCTTTATCAAAAATTTTTAGTTTTGATTGACTCTTCCTCTATTTCAAAATTTTTGCAATTCTTGTTATGCATTTATACATTATAATTACCATAGAGCTTTAGAATAAAACTCATTTTCGTAATGCAATGCAAGAAATATGGACAACAGAATATTTATTTCCAAAGTATCATAGCTGCTCTAAGGAATTTTATTTTAGGACGCAACAAAGTTTATTTCAATTTCTTATTTGTGTGTGTTTGTGTGTGTGTGTGTATGTGTGTGTGTATGTAGGTCTGTACATACCAGCATGCCACAAAAATGTGTTGAGTCCTAGATGTGGTGACTCAAGGCTTTAATCCCAGCACTTGAAAGGCAAAAGCAGGTGAATGTCTGTGAGATTAGGGCCAGTGTCATTTATATAGCAAGTTTTAGGGCAGCTCAGGCTAATGGGAGACCGTGTCTAAAACAAACAAACAAATAAACAAACAAACAAAAAAGAAACAGAAACAAGCATAAAGAAACAAAACAAAATAAAAAAACAAAATATGAATTTGTGGAGGTGAAAAGAACCCACAGGAGTCAATTCCTTGCCTCTAGGACATGGGTCATATAGATGGAATCTTCGTCCTCTTTGGGTATGAGAGTCTTTACTTCATAAACTGTTCTGTGAGCTCTCAAGTCCATCTTTCGTTGTGTCAGAGATATCAAGAATTTGTTTGCAGATTTTTCTCACAAGAGAGAAATTTACTTTAGTTCTTTCAAGGTCTAATGTTTCCAACACAGAGATTGCTTGTCTTAGGTGAAAACTAGATAAAATGAGGAAATTATTTGACAATAGCTGTTACTTAGTAGAAATGTATTCTATGTCTGTATATTGGGACTTATTCTTGGGTGCTGATACAGTTCTCTAAATCATGCCTGCAGTTGAGCTTTGCTATAATAGTATACCTAGATATACTGGTAGAAAGAATAATTCAATTTTAAAAATATTTTATCTATTTTTTATTTTATGTGTATGAATGTATTGTCTGCATGTAGTAACTCTACCCATGTCATGCCATGCCCATGGAGATCAGAGGAAGGCAACTGATCCCCTAGAACTGGAGATATGGAGAGATGTTTGACAACATGTAGGTGCTGGGAAATGAACTCCTATGCTCTGCAAGAGGAGTTCTTAACAACTGATACATCTCTCCAGCTCCAATAATTTGATTTCAAAAGAACTGCCCAATGTTAACTAAAGAGATAATGAAGAGAAGTATATTTTATATCCAATAGGGATGTAACAGAAACCATACAAAGCAAATGATAGAGTGATGATGTGGAGAGAGGCAGAGAAGAAAAGGAGGAACAGGAAAACTCCCACAAAATGACAAAGAAGAAATGTGAAGCAAAATTGGGGTAAGATTGCCTTTGATCCATCTCTGCTCTTCTCGAGCATGGAAAATTTTTCTGACCAACAAAGAGAATATTTGCACATTGGAAAGTGTCGATTGGAATGACAGAATATCAAAGTGATTATTCTGAAAGTGGGAACAGAGCATATGCTTATCACACTATCAGAAAAACTAATAATAAAGATAACAATATAGTAATGATTAATAGTATTGTATCAATTAAACATATTTATACTTCTTTGTAACCATACACTGTTAAATGGCAGTATTATTTGCCTTACGTTGTTTAAACATGACAACAATTTTTGGAACTATAAGTTACTTTTTCTTGATTACAGGAACATTCAGGATTGAAAAAATATAGCTCATATTA